TGTGTGTGTCTGTGCTGTGTGTGTGTGTCTGCTGTGTGTGTGTCTGCTGTGTGCGTGTGTGTCTGTGCTGTGTGTGTGTGTCTGTGTCGTGCTGTGTGCGAGGGAGCATGCGTGTATGTCCGTGCTGCATCTCCGTGCCACGAGCGTGGGATCGCGTGCAGGGCGCCCTCTCCTGGGCAGCTCCCCTGGCCCCCTGTCCTTCCTCAGTCCGGCGTCCTCCCTCGGGGGCCCTCCTGGGCGCCACCCACACTCTGGGTGCAGCAGCTGCGAGCCACCTGCTCCGTGGGATCCGAGGGGGCCGCGCAGCGGCTCCAGCCCCGCAGGCCGCGTCTCCCGCCCAGGCTGCTGCCGGGCCGGGTCCGGGTCGGAGTGCTGTCCCGGTCACACCTGGTACTTCCGAGGGTGCCAGGGAGCCTTGTTGGGATGCGCTGGTGGCCTGGTGCTGGAAGAACTTCATTTCTAATAGTAACTTTTTAATAATGTTTTGACCCATTAAACGGGGGTGATTTTCTTGTAAAAACAAATGAATTTTTCTGGGTTAAATAATCTTCTTACGCCCAGATGAGCCGTGCACGTGCCCGTGTGTGTCTGAGCAAATGCTGCACGCAAACTCCAGGGCCATCGGGGAGCCGTCTGCCCGCCAGGCCCGTCTCTGCACGCGAGCGTGCCCGTCTGCACACACAAGCGTGCCCGTCTCCACACGCGAGCGTGCCCGTCTGCACACACAAGCGTGCCTGGAGGGCTCGAGTGCAGACTGCAGTTTCACAAGTGCACTCAGGGTTTATTTAAAGGAAGCCTGCATTTTTCTAAATACCACAAACAATTCTCAGATTTTGAAAACCTAAGTGTGACAAATCATGATTTGTCTCTTCTGGAAGTTTGGATGATCCAATTTAGTTTTCTCAAGATTTCGCCTTAGAAAGGGACGGGGAACAAAGCACAAGACAGACCCCTGGGGGCCCAGGTTCGGCTCCGTTCACTTGCACAGCCGTAAATGGACTAACGGGGGCGCCAGGCTCTGCGGGGGCTGCCGGCGGAGCTGTCTCTGCACCGGCTGCCGGGGCGACTCCTCTCTGGCTCCCTGAGCACCTGTTGAGCTCACCTGGCCGGCGTCAGGACGGCCTCCCCGGGGCCACTGCTGTGGCCTGGCAAACGGGTCGGTGCTGCGAGTACTTGGCTGTCTGTTTTCACGCCCTTTGTGCCCTCCTGGGCATGATGAGTGCGTCTTTGACCGTAGAATTCTAGTTTGGGGGGAAAAAATGGGCCAGGTGTGGTGGCTCACACCTATAATCCAGCACTTTGGGAGGCTGAGGTGGGAGGATCACTTGAGGCCAGGAGTTTGAGACCAACCTGGGCAACATAGCAAGACCCCATCTCTTTAAAAAAAAAAAAAAGAATTCCGGTTTGGGACTGAAAAATGGGAAAAATCACAGACTTTCGTGGTTGACTGACTCCAAAGATGGACATGAGGGAAACGTAAGCTCCAAAGTCCCACGTCCGTGCGTTGGTCTGCGCGGTGCTGGTCCCCTGGCTTTCTGTCCGGGCGAGAGGAGATGAGTAACCCTGGTTGCCGCCCTTTCCCAGGGCGGCACGATCATCGGCAGCGCGCGCTGCAGTGACTTCCGCAGCCGTGAGGGCCGCCTGAAGGCCGCCTGCAACCTGATCCGGCTGGGCATCACCAACCTGTGCGTGATCGGGGGCGACGGCAGCCTCACCGGCGCCAACATCTTCCGGAAGGAGTGGAGCGGCCTGCTGGAGGAGCTGGCCAAGAACGGTGCGTCCTGCGTCCTCGCCTGCGGGTCTCTGGGTTTCCTCTGCCCCCGTTCGTCTCTTGTCATCCTCAGGGAGCTTTGGGGCAGGTGCGTTTTCCTTTGACCGTAGCCGGAGCACCTGTCTCTGCACATCTTACACACAGTTCACCGTCTCTGCACTTTTTGGGCCTCAAACAACACCAACAGCGACAAGAATGATGTTCATTTAGCCTGAGCGTGTGCCAGGCACCGTCCGACCTTTCCCCGGGGCGGTTTTGCGGAATCCTCACAACAGCCCTCAAATGCAGGTCTTCAGTCTGTCCCTGTGTGACAGACGAGGGGTCAGAGGCTGTAGCAGAAGCCACGTGGCCCCGCTGGGGGGTCCAGGCCCACACTCGAGTGCCCACCCTGGTCCCCCAGCTCCCTGTTCCTGCCCGAGTTGTTGCAAGACTTTGGTTTATTTAGATGACAAAGACCTGCCTCTGCATCCTCCTGTATCACTTTTGACGCCACCTTCTGAGAACCCTGTGTGTCTGTAGTTTTTATCTCTTCAAATTGACAGTGTTTAATTCCAATGCAATATATGACCAGCAAAAGCATGTTGTTGGAACTCATAGCACCTTTATGAAAGGTGTAAACTTGAGACAAAGCAGCTGTCCCTGAGTTTTGCAAAACTCCCCTCGAGGTGCAGAGAACAGCTGCTGGGCTGGCAGCAGCGAGGGCCTCCCCGGTTTGCTCTGGCCCCCCTTGTTCTGGCCGAACACCAGCCCACTTGCAGCGTAGGAGAGGGCGGTGGCCACAGCCCAGGCCACGTTTGCCCCGTGGCCACGCTGACTTCCTTTATGCAGAATTGCCCCACCCAGCTCTGTCCTGGGCGTGGCAGGTAGACACCTACCACTGACCAGCTCCCCGCAGATCCACGAGAAATCGACATGGGGGTGACGTAGGGTCTGGGTCCTTAGTTCTGTGACTGTGACGTGTGTCCTTTGCAGAGCCACGTCGTTCTCTGCGGCCGTTGCCAGGTAATACTGAGATTTTTATCCACTGATTGCAACACGCAGATCCTTCCTTTTGCTTTTATAATCCGCTGCTCTCGTCCGAGTGCCAAACGCCAGCTCATACTGCGTGACGACTTCCACCTCCGGCTTTGCTGTCCTTAATTAGACGGAGTCGGGTTGCGTGGAGTCGTGAGAAAGTGAGATAATGACCAGAGAAAGGGTTGAGAGCAGCTGGTGTCTTGCACCGGTGATGAGATTTGCCGTCTGCCCCGCGCAGGCCAGATCGACCAGGACGCTGTGCAGAAGTACGCCTACCTCAACGTGGTGGGCATGGTGGGCTCCATCGACAACGACTTCTGCGGCACCGACATGACCATCGGCACCGACTCGGCCCTGCACAGGATCATCGAGGTGGTGGACGCCATCATGACGACCGCCCAGAGGTAGGAGGGCTCCGAGAGACCCGTGGGAGCCGGCGTGGTGTTCCCGGGTCTCTAGAATCTTCCCCAGAGGGGTGTCCAGGTGCGGGGCTTGTAACTTGAGCGTTAGAAACTGGTGCAAGAAAATCGATCGCCGATCTGCTTTTCGTTTTTAATTTTAAAACATTGCTGTTTTCTTTTTTTATCTGATAAAAGTATGTTCATTGGAGGGAACTTAGAAAACAGAAGGAAACAAAATAGTTAGTGTCTGATGTCCTGCCCCAAGGGGTCCTGAAGGTACGGAAAACGTAAAACAGCGTGAACTAGGCCCCGGCACTCGTTAGGGACGTGGGCCGGTGTGGCCTTGCTGCCACGTGTCCAACCACAGACTCGCAAGCGTGGATGGAGCACACTTCGTCCGAGGTGACACAGACCATGATGGGTCATCACCAGTAACCCCCTGTAGGACGCCTGGAGTTTCTGAAGCACCTTCCTCGAAGTCGCGTGAGATGTGGATAGAAGAGGCGCCTCCCACCTTGCGGATGGAGCTGGAACTCGGCACATTGGAACCGGGACCCCGGGACCGCAGCCTCCTGCGCCCCGTGGTGTGTTCGTCCCGGTCACAACGCTGCTGCGTCGGACACTAAGCGGGGCGAGCTCCTCGGCCGTTGGAAACCACAGCATCTCCCCAGAGCTGGAAGGATGCTCGGGGCAGCTGGAGTTTTCCATTCCCCGGAGAAACCGCAGTCACTGGGCATTAAGCTGACTCCATGACACTCACGCCCGTCGTTTATGTGGGACACATCCGGCCCCGGGTTCCTGACGAAGTCTCTGACTTTGCCCGACTCGGTGGCTACGTTGGATAGAGGACAGGAGAGTGTCCCAGCGTCAGTGTGTCCGGGGCCCAGGCAGACAGACGTAAACACGTAGCTAGAAAGCGCAGCCGCTGCCGGAGCCCTTCACGCGCCGGAGTGTGACGCGCCGCGTCAGTAGCCTTTGCTCTTGTGGATGTCGGGTCACCCTGGTCAGGGAGCCGGCGAAGCACTTCCCTGTTTTCCACACGTGCCCAGCAGTGGTGGGTGACGAGGGACGTTCTCTTTCTTTCTTTTCCAGCCACCAGAGGACCTTCGTTCTCGAGGTCATGGGCAGACACTGTGGGTGCGTATCCGCGGACACCGTCGGGGGAAGGACCCTGGGAATGTCCCCTCCCGTGCCCTGCACCCCACCCATGTGGGGAGGATGCTCCCAGAGGAGCTGGCATTCCTCGTTCATGCTCCAGGGTCGTATCTGCCCGAATCTGCCACCGAGCGTGGCTGCCCCGAGCTAGCCCCGCAGGACGCCGCCGCCTCGGTTAGAATCTCCTGTCGACACTGTCGTTTGTCCTCGCAGGTACTTGGCCCTGGTGAGCGCCTTGGCCTGCGGCGCGGACTGGGTGTTCCTTCCGGAATCCCCGCCAGAGGAGCACTGGGAGGAACACCTGTGCGTCAAACTCTCAGAGGTAACTCGCGTCCTGTCGCCCCCGCTTACCGATGCTCACGGTTGCGTCGCTTTAACTAGGATTCGTAACGGCCCTTAGAATTTTCAGGCTGGACAGCGCTTTGAGCGCACGAGAACTTTCCGACTGTAAAATGAGGTCAGGCTCTTGGTAGGGATCTTCCTGCGTTGATTAGTCAGGCGTCTGTCGACCTCCTAACGTCGCAGACGGTAACGCTGTGGAGAAGCCACTGCAACTGTTTCGTTTTGCGTTCAAAGCAGCAGGTACCCGTGGTTACAGCTCTTAACAGAAATCAAGAGAGAAAATTCATTCCCAGGTTTTTTTTTCTGCGTACCTGATCTCGGACAGGCCTGTTTTGCTTCTCTGATGTTAACTCCCCCCAACACTTTGTGTCGGGTGTTGGGACGTTCCTCCCAGCTGGGAGGCCTCCGCTGCGCTGGGTTTTCGGGCCTGACGGTTGGACCGTCGTGAGCCCAGCTCTTCTCTTCCCCTGTCCAAGTTCGTTGCGTGTTTGTGTTTCACGCTCTGGGCTGTGAGCGTGGGGCGAGTCTCCCTCCAAGAAGGCTGACGCTTAGGGCAGAAGACGTCCCATTTAGGACCATGGTTAGCTTTGAACAGAAACCACAGTACGTGGCTGGTTTCCCTCCCTTGTTCTTGTCATCATCCTATCAGTGTTCTACGGGTAAACCGCGCTGAGCGCTGTGGCCTGGACTGACGTTAGTTGTATTCAGCAAACGCATAAGCAGTGTCAGCGACGAGGGCCGTGCGAAAGAAAGTCCGCAGCGAGGTTGCGGGGTTGGGGCTGTCATTCGGATTTTAGGAACTGGCTTTAGATTCATAAGTTATTCCTTTGGCCATGTGGTCTTATCCGGAAATCCCTGTGGGTTCCACGATTTAGAAACCGGGCCGTCAGGTATGACAAGAATAAGAGCCTGCTGTCGTCACCCCCAAGTGTGGGCAGAGTTAGGACGGATGATTTAAACTAACCCGTGTGTGGAAACACTTGATAGCATGGTGTCTGCCGTGCATTTTTATCGGTCATTAACGTAGCACTGCTAGAATTTTTTCCAAGTATCTTGCTGGATAAATTAGCCTAGAAACAAACTCCCAAAACATATGTATTTCAGTACAGTAAATGTTAGATTTATTAAAATACAGCAAAACACATATTTCAGTATAATAGATTTTATT